GTCCAGGTCCCCGATCCCTTTGCATTCTTCAATCTTCATGGTTGCTCCTTCCAAATGCCAGATCAGCATTTATCAGGTTCCAGAAGTCTATCTGGTTGTTGCTTGTGAAATCAGCAGCCATCTTGGCCTCATTCTGTGGCTCTAGAATGACTGCTATTTGCAACAGCTTCTCTACCATCAGCGTGACTTCTTCAGTAAGAGATGGCCAGAAATTTCCCAAGTAAATTCCTTCTATACTAGAGTTCTTGAAGGATCTGGCCATGACACTAAGGTTTGTTGAGCAACTCTAAGACAGTAAGGTATTTGCTTCTTTGAAGTTCCTGGTGCTAGGGTCAGAGCCCCTCTGTCATCCTCTCCCAGGGGCTTGTCTCCAGGCTCCTCCTTCCTTGACCCAGGCCTGGGCCTCTGCCTTCACCACTTGATCCTTGCCACTGCTCCTGCTCCACCATCAGTCACTGCTCCTGGCCCACAGCTGTCCCTTGCAAAAACACTGCTATTAGAGGGACCAGGGGTCCTAGGCAGCCATGCTCCCAGTCTTAGCCTAAATTCCGTAAGAAATAGAGCCTGAGGCAAGGATTAAGAGCCTTTATGAGGTGCAAACCTAGGGTAAGAGTGAGGAAAAGGAAGTGAAGCAGGGATAGAAATAAATGCAAGACGATCTGTTGCCTGTCGACTTCTATTTCATCAGCTGGGAAAGAGAGAAATATTCCTATTGCTTAGTAATGCTGTAGTCATTAGCGCAATACTGGTGTAAAGAAACTCGTGCTTGTGGCAATGCTGGTGTAAAGAAACCTACTGTGCTATCAGTTGTGTAAAAGTACAGTAATACAATTATGTATAGTACATAATACTTGCTAATGATAATAAATGACTATGTTACTGTTTATGTACTTATTATACTATATACCTTTTATTTATTTGAGTTATTTTAGAGTATACTCAGTATACTCCTACTCAAAAGGAAAACAGTTAATTGTAAAACAGCCTCTGAGAGGTCCTTTGGGAGGTATCCTGGAACCAGGCATTGCTATCCTAGGAGATGACAAGGTCCATGCATGTTATTGCCCTTGAAAACCTTCCAGACGTGAAGGTGGAAGACAGTGATACTGATGACCCTGAACTTGCACAGGCCTAGGACAATGTGTATGTGTGTGTGTCTTAGTTTTTCCTTTTCTTTTCTTTTTTTTTTTTTTTGAGATACAGTCTCACCCTGTTGCCCAGGCTGGAGTGCAGTGGCAAAATTATAGCTGGAACTCCTAGGCTAAAAGCCATCCTTCTGTCTATACCTCCTCAGCAGCTAGGATTACAGGCACGTGTCACATACCCAGCTAAAGTGTGTTAGTTTTTAACAAAAAAAATTTAAGTAAGAAATGTTAAAAAAGAAAAAAGGTTATAGAATACAAAGAAATATTTTTGACAGCTGTACAATGTGTTATGTTTTAAGTGTTATTACAAAAGTCAAAAAAATTAAAAAGTTTATAAAGTAAAAAATTTCTAGTAAGCTAAGGGAAACTTTTTCTAAGACTTAGAGGAAATTAAAGGTAACTTCTTTTTTTGGGACAGAGTCTTGCTCTGTCACCCAGGCTGGAGTGCAGTGGCACCATCTCAGCTCACTGCAATCTCCACCTACTGGGTTCAAACGATTCTCCTGTCTCAGCTTCCCCAGTAGCTGGGGTTACAGGTGCGTACCACCATGCCCGGCTAATTTTTGTATTTTTAGTTGAGACATGTATTTCCATCATGTTGGCCAGGCTGGTCTCAAACTCGTGACCTCATGTGAACCACCTGCCTCGCCTCCCAAAGTGCAGGGATTACAGGCATGAGCCACTGCACCCGGCCTGTTTTTTGATACTTTGAAGAGGCCTCGGGTTTCTTTCCTGAATAAGGAACACAGATAAAACAAATGGAAGTTTCAAGCTTTCAGACTAGCAAGGACACTTTCTATGTTTATCAGAAAAAGAATGTGAGCCAAGATCGCGCCACTGCACTCCAGTCTCGACAACAAGAAAAAAACTCCCATCTAAAAAAAAAAAAATCAAAGAAAGGAAACTCACCAGATCACCGCATCCAGTGAGACACCAGGCACCACATGCATGGTGAGTGCTAACCTACCTGTCCTGAGTTCCTGTTTTCCCACACATTGTTACATTTCTTCCCTGCCAGATAAATCCCTACTTTCAGTGGGTCAGGGATATGAATCTGATACTGACCTCCCATCTTCGCAGCTGCAGCACTCGATAATCATCTCAGTCATTGGCTTCCTGTGCTGTGAGATCACGGTCTTAATCATCAACTTCCTGAGCTATGAGTGGCAGGACCTAGACTGAACCCCTGGTGTTTTGGTAACAGAGTAACCAAGTTCCAATCATGGTTAGTGCCCTATACAGGTGTGCCATTTTCTATCTTTTATATTGTATTTTTGTTGAATCCTTTCTGTATTTAGATATGTTCAGACACACAAATACCATTGTGTTACAATGACCTACAATATTCACCACATAATTTACTAGCCGTACATGTTTATAGCTTGGAACAAAAGGCTATACCATACAGTCTGGGTGTGCAATAGGTTGTACAGTCTAGGTTTTCATAAATACATTCTATGATGTTCACACAAGAACAAAATCACCTAAGAATGCATTTCTCTGAGGGTATCCTGGTTGTTAAGTGATGCATGACTGTAGTTTGGAAAACACTGGTTTAGAGATGAGGAGAAGACAAAATAACTGAGATTGAGAAAGAGTAACCAGTCAAGGAGGAAGAAAAACAGAGTATTTCCAGGAGTAGGGAATAGCCAAGTGTTACCACCTGATGTTAATAAAGTGAGATGAGGACTGACAATTGATTTGGTAACAAGAGATATCTGTGATGGGGACGGTTAGCAATAAGAACGGGGTGCTCTAGACACACTGAAACCAGCCCAATAGTCCCACAGAGCTTATTTTGGATAAACACAGAAACTGACTCTCTGGTTAATTTTAATTTGTTTACTTTTTTTTTTTTTTTTTTTGAAACGAAATCCTGCTCTCTTGCCCAGGCTGGAGTGCAGTAGCACGATCTTGGCTCACTGCAACCTCTGTTTCCTGGGTCCCGGTTCAAGCAATTCTCCTGCCTCAGCCTCCCAAGTAGCTGGGATTATAGGTGTGTGCCACCACGCTGGGCTAATTTTTGTATTTTTAATAGAGACGGGTTTCACCATGTTGACCTGGTTGGTTAGGAACTCCTGATCTCAGGTGATCCGCCCGACTTGCCCAGACTCTGAGACAAAAGGCGTGAGCCCAACGCAGACTCTCTGTTCTTAAAGCTTGAAACTCATGTACTCCAAAACCTAAAATGCAATAAAATAAATAAATAAATAAATAAATAAAAGTCAAAAAAAAAATGAGGAGAGAGAGAAAAAGAAACTTATACTTGTTTTATCTTAGTTCCTTCCTCAGGAAAGACCCTCGGGCTCCTCAAGAAAGTATCAAAAGATGATTCTGAGAGAGCATTTGATTAAAAAAAAAAGTATCAAAGAACTGAAACACACCAGATGACAGCATCCAAAGATACACCAGATCCGTCTTTCTTCATGATTGCTTCCTTAATCCTCCCTAGTTCCTGTTTTCCCCTACACAGTTACATTTCTATAGACCCCTAATTTTAGCAGGTCAGGGAGATAGATTTGCAGCTAGTCTCCCATCTTCTTGGCGGCAGCACCTGATTAAAGCCTTCTTCCTTGGCAATACTCCTCTCAGTGATTGGCTTTTTTTGTGCAGCAAGCTGCAGGGCCTAGACCTTATCCCTGGGGTTTCCAAAACATCAGGGGGTGATGTCTTTCATATGAAGCATTTTCTGAAGGAAACTGCCCCTCCCATATTTCCTGCGGAAGGAAGAGTGGGGAGACTCCCTCAGGCTGTCATTTGAGGTGGCAGGGCTGTGTCCCTACCACATGTCCTTTATCCCCACCAGCCCTAGCGGCCTGGACCAAATGCAGCCGATCTACGGACCAGCTAGAGATTTAAGTGTGGTTATCTGTGCAGAAGAAACTCAAAATAATAGTGGCTTATACAAAATAGAAGTTTGCATCTCTCATGCTAAAGGCCAAGCTCCGTTCCTTCTATCTTGTTGGTTTACCATCCCTAGGGTGTTAGTCCACACGGCGCATTATGATTTACTATGTTCCAGCAGGGGCAGGGCGTGCCGGGGAGGGCAAAGGGCAGAAATAATTAGAAGCCTGGGGAAACCTTAAGCCTAGCTAAAAATTAAGAGATTCTGTTGGAGAAAGGTCAATTGGACATTTTGGCTTGTATCCAAACAAGGACACAGCTAAGCTAATTAGGTTTTCTCTTTCTGAACTGGACAGAAACCTGGCACTTTATCGTGGGAAGGTATATGAAAACACACATTAGTCTGAAGACCAGCCCACCCCTAGAGCTCCTGAAGAGTCTGCAAAACCTTCAGGCTCAGCCTCCTTGGGGCACCAGCACTAGTTTACTGGTTCTTCTTGGAGACCTGGCTATTTGGGGGGTTTGAAGTGATTTCGGGATTGAAATTCCATTTTTCTTTATTCCGAGGTGCAGTCTGGAACAAATATCCCGGGTTATTGGAAGTAAACTGAGATCACCTCTGTGCAGGCCAGGAAGCTACGATCCGCGGAGGCGCAGCCGCGGGGATACCGCGGGACACCTACCCTCCGAGGGAGCACCGCACGCAGCCAGGGAGGGATCTTGCGTGGGTCGGGGCGCTGCCTTCCGTCGTCACAGTAGCGGGGATGCGAAAGTCCCACGCCGGGCGGGGTTTGGCACAGCCACCGCCCACAGTCGGCACGGAGGGAGAAGCGGCCCTTTGAGAGCAGTGGGCAGGGCTTCGCGAACAAGCTGGCGCTTCCCGAGGCTGGTCCCGCGCGAGCCGCTGCAGCAAACGCAACCCCAGGCGCGGAGGCCGCGGGGTCCTCTGGGAAGCGGCGTTGGGGGTGGGGGCTGCCAGCCGCGCCCCGCGAAGGATTCTGGGAGTGGTAGTTCGGCCTCTCGGTAGGCCGGCGCGAGGTGTCCCTGCAGGCTGTTAGATGCCTTTGTCGTCTGGCTCGGCTTCCTCCGTGTCTGGCTGGAGGTCGGACCCAGGATCGAGGAGGACTGAGCGCATGCTATTCTAATCTAAGGGCCTGGGAGGGTGGCGGGAAGAACCCCCGGGTGCGGGCGCCGGGCTGCTCGGTGAGGGTCGCGCTTGCGTTCCGGGCCTCTGGGGGGACCCGAGCGACGGACCCCCGGCCCGTTCCCCAGCGCCAGTTGCCCTCAGCGCGGGCCCGGAGGAAGGAGTCGTCATGGAGCCTGGGGGCAGAGGTGAGGATTTGGAAGTCAGGCGGCCTTGGTGCCTGCTAGAGAGGGAGAAAGGCTGCCTCTGCCTGGGGCAGGCTCAGGAAGGAGTAGTATCACGAGCTCCCTCCTACTAGTCGGTCTCACTTGGGGTTTTGAGGGACAGACGCCACCTCTGTTGCCCTCCTGGTCTGTAGGGCGCTGGATGCCTCCCTTGTCCAAGGGAAAACATCAACACATCTAACAATTTGGCTTTTGATAATGACTTCTTTTTTGACCTCAGAGGAACCCTATAAGGCACTAGGAAGGGACTAACTGACCCTTTTGGAAGGTAGGGAAAGCGGAGATTTGAGAAGTCACAGAATTTGTTTACAATCTTGGTTTGGTTTTGGTGGTGGTGGTTTTTCCATAAGACCCATCACTTTCTGAGTCAGGCAGTATTGTATTAATATCTGAAAAGCCAGTGTTCAAAAAGAGTTTAGTCTTCGTTCATCCTGTGAGTCTGGAATATAACAAGGATCAATCACTAAGTGAGGCATGGACACACAAAGACTTTGAGTATTATTTTGACTACTTAGCACATACAAGATAAAAATATGTTTATATGTCCACATGTTCATAGCAGTTCTGCTGGAGTTTAAGGGCAGAGGAGGACAGGAGGAGCCTGAAGCAGCAATGGTCAAGGCTGTCTTGATTAACGAATATTATGCGATCGTCTTTTGGTTCCCTGTGTTGACTCTTCTTAGATGACAAGTAGCTGGTGTGTGGCACTTGCTGCGCGTTTATTGCGAGGACAGAGTAATCATCATGGTGCCTGTCTCCACTTCTAGGATCCCTTTTTGAGGACTCAGACCTTCTCCATGCTGGAAACCCAAAAGAAAATGGCATGACTGCTGTGCTGCTGACCTCTGGGTCCCAAGTAAATTTTCTTCTTTTTTTCTTTCATTTCTCTGAGCAAGGATATGTTTCCTTTCATTGTTATGGAATTGGCCAGCCCTGATTCCTAGACCACTGGGTTTATCCTGATAAATTGATGACTGATGAACCCCACAGGAAGTGCTTTTCATTTGTGCAGAACTTTCTTCCCAGCATTGCTTTCTCTCTACCCACTGAGTATTTGCTGCACCCTTTTTAGCCATTCAGTACTGTAATTGGCCTTGGTGAGATGCAAAAAAGTAAAAGCCACTTGCTGTTGCATTGTGGAGTTTACCAAGGCAGTGAGAGATACATGAATAAAACATGAAGAAATTGATATTTTTTAAACGTAGAAATAACTGGTCCAGGCAAGTCACAAATGGCTCTGAAAGAGGCTTTTTCCCCATCCGTTTGGGAAAAGTGTGGGATAAAAACTGTACTTTGAAAAACAAGAGAGAGTGAGTAGTTGAAGGGTAGAATAAAGGAATATTCCAAGAGAGAACAGCTTTGGCCAGAAAAAAAAGTATTTAAATGATGAGGGAGTTGGAGGTCTTCCAAGAATGTGTGGATGTGTGAGTCACTGTGGGGTGACCTTAACTGTGGTGAGGGAAGCTTGAGTGTGTTGTACCCAGATGCCAGGACAATCTATACTTGGTCTTACTTCAGAGGCAAATGAAGGCCCCATGAAGGTTTTTAGAGGCCCAGCAGGATGAAACATGCCATAGCTGATTGGCAAGAGAAGATTAGAAAAGATGCTTCTGTAAGATCTGGCCTTTGGTTCAGGTGCTGGGACTCTGTCTCCGTTACACCAGGCCTAACGGCATTATAGGTACTGATGGTCCTTTTAAAACCATGGGAGAAAATGCCAGTATTGATGTTTGTCTGTGAATTAGTAGATCGCTTTTAGAGAGATGAGGGCAGAGAAAGTCAGTGGCACCTGCTGACAGTGTCTGATTTGCCTGCCTGTGCCTTCCAGCTCCAGCACATGCACACTTAAGTGAGTTGCAGAGGTTTTCTCAGGGAACTGAAGTCTGAAAGCAACTGCCTGTTAGTCTGTTAGTGTTAGCACTGTTTGTAAAGAATGAAGATTGTGCACCTTATATTACTTGTGCTGATCACTCCTGAGGCATATGGCCATAAGGGACCTTAAGCTTAAAAGTTAAAAAGTGTATTTGAGGCAGAGGATTTTCAGAGTAGGTAGTTCTTTTAACTTATGTCATTATGTGCATTGTTTTACAGTCATTTCTGGAAGACTGTGAAATATATGTTAGAAAGTTGAATATAAACAAAATTAACAGTATGATTCATATGTATATTCAAAGGACTGTGGCCAAAGTGGTAGTTTAAAGAGGGGTAAAACTGATTCATTTGCTAAACCAAGGACTGGTTTATTTTACCCTATCTCAGTTAAGTTGTAGTTGTATAGAAATTTGAAAAATAGAATTTGAAAAATTATTAGACATTTATCTTATCAGCAGTAAGAGATTCAAAGGAACATTACCTTCCCTACTCCCTTATTTCAATATTTTAGTAATTATTTTACTAAACTTTGTTGTTGTTTAGCCTAACTTTCATCTAGATGCCTGCCATCTAGATGAAAGTTAGGCTAAACACTCCTGTTTTCAATGTTTGATACACTTCTGTTCTTCTCCTCACTTCTGTTCCCATGCACACTTTTATAGAATATCCCATTTAAACTTGTTTCTACTAATTATTGTTCATTCCTTCCTTTCTTCATTCAAATATTCCACAAATATTTACAGGGTTTCTGCACTGTGCTGAGTAGTAGCACTGCTTCGGTGAGCAAAAATAGACCTGGCCTCTACTCCTGTGGAGCTTATGTTAGTCACAAAATCCTCTCTATGTGTACAACCCAAGAGAAGGGAAGGAACATGTGCTATAACTAGGAGTCAAGGAGGGCTTCCCTTGAGGTAACACCTGAGCTGAGACCTGAAGGGAGAGAGGGATTCACATTGCTGAAAGGAGGACGCAGTGGGCAGAATACTCAGGAATAGTAAGCAAGATGTGTAAAAGGGCTAAAGGGAATGAGACACACACTACAGGCAGAGGAGAGAATGCCATCAACTGGGGGATGGGGGCAGACTGATCAGGGTCATTGTGAAAAATGACAAGAACACTCTGGAAACTTATAATTTGGGCTTCAGATACTGTTTTACAAATAAATTCATATTCTGTGAAATGTGTAGGAAGCATCTTAATGTTTAACATATATGGGACTGATTTCATTTTGAAAGGAAAACTAGAGAAAAAAACTTCAATTTATAGAACCCCATATATTTTTTTAAAGTATACCATAAGGAAAATACTTAATTCATAATTATATTTTTCTCCCCTTTTTCCTGTGTAAGTAGTAGCAAATTTTATAATTCTGTAATTCACTGATACGTACACTAAGAAGTACATACCTTCGAGTTTTACATTGAAGGTACTTTCCCTCCTACTTGCAGGTAATACGCACTTCTGCTATCTGGAAGCAAAGCGTGAGTGTGTGGACTACAAATTCACCAGAGAATCTTAGTGCTGGAAAGGGTGGCGGAGGCTGTTTTGTCTGTCCTCTTCTCTCCTTCCTGTCTTCCTCCTTCTGTGTTGTCAGTTTTAGTTCTCTTCAGAGGCCTCTGGAAGGAGGCTTATTGGTGAGCACCAGTGTGTTTCATTTTTCAGGAACTGATGGTCAGGGATATGGCCGAGGCTTTCACCCAGTGGAGGCAGCTGAACTCTCCTCGGGGAGATGTGCCCGAGAAGCCTAGGAATCTGGTCTTGCTGGGTAAGGATGGCTCCCCTAACGCCTGTGAATTTACCCAGTGTGGTACCTTGGCTTCCTCAATTTCTAGGAGCTCCAAGGTCCTTACATGCAATGATTTTTCATTCTAGTAGGGCTTGAGACAAGCAATTTCTGCTTTTTGTTTCTGGATATAGTTTTAACACTCATGGAATTAGACATAAACAGCTTTATGTTATGGACCTGTAGCATCCTTCTTCTCTACTCCTTGACCAAGGATATAGAGACAAAGTGCCAATGAAAACAACTCTTAAGAGAATGGGTGCTTATTCTTTAAATAGGAGGAGGTAAAATTGACATGGGATTCAAATGAACCCCTATCAATCTTCCTACCTCCTGAGCACTGTTGAGGAAGACATGGAGAACTGACCGCACTCTCTCCCTCTCTTATTGTGTTCCTGAAAACCGAGGAATGAACACTGACCTCTTTACTGACTCCTTTTTTTCCCCCTATGAATAGGGCTTCCAATTTCCACACCTGATATAATCTCTCAGTTGGAGCATGAGGAGGAGCTGGAGAGAGAAGTCTCAAAAGCAGCCAGTCCAGGTGTGTGAGTGTTGGAAACAGTGCCAGTAGAACCCAGATGGTCAATGGAAATGCTTATGGAAGAGGAGCCTGTCCAGATTTTGCTAGACCCATGGAAAAGTTGAAGTCCCCATCTCTCCCCTGTGCCACATCCCAGCTCTGTGGATGGTGATCTGTTTATAAAGTTATAATTTGATTTTTTTTAAAGTAAATACTTCTACTCTTTTTTTTTAAATTGAGATGGAGTCTTGCTCCCATTGTGCAGGCTGGAGTGCAGCGGTGTGATCTTGGCTCACTGCAGCCTCCACCTCCTGGTTCAAGAGATTCTCCTTCCTCAGCCTGTCAAGTAGTTGGGATTACAGGCATGTGCGATCATGCCCAGCTAATTTTTGAATTTTTAGTAGAGACAGGGTTTCACCATGTTGACCAGGCTGGTCTCGAACTCCTGACTGCAGGTGATCCACCCACCTCGGCCTCCCAAAGTGCTAGGATTACATGCATGAGGCATTGCACCCAGCCTTTCTAATCTTTCACACCAATTCTTTTTCCCAATTAAGGTGAAATGAAACCAACATTTTCATATTTGTTAATAACTTGCTTGGGTTCAAGGCTGTAAACCAGGATTGTTTACATGTGTTACTTTATCTTTGCAGGATGCCATTTTTGAGTCTCAGACCAATGACTGTAAATTGATCTCTGAGTTTTCCCTTGCTGCCTTCGCTGTCTAAGCAGAGGTGGCATAGCATGATGATTAAGACTGTAGACTTTGGAACCAGACTTCGTTGGTTTAAAGCTGATCTTAGCTACTCCATTAGCTTTGTGACCTTTAACAGGTGACTTGTATTCTCTGTGACTTAAATTTCCCCAATGGTAAAATGGGGATAATGAGAACACAAAGCTTATATTATTATGGTGACATAACAATATAAGGAAATAATCCAAGACAAATGGCTTTATGCTAAGCAAATGATAGTTATTAAGTTCTAATAATTTCTTTGAAAGATGTTATGAGTTTGACCCTATTACTTCTGTCAAACTGCATTACTGCAATAGACTACTGGCTAATTATACTTTCTTTAGTTTTACTCTTGTAAAATTGAGGCAGCGTAATATTGCTAGATTCCCCATTGAGTTCCTTACTCTGCCAGTTCTGTATTCCTGTACTTGCTTTCAAAGCTGTTGTTAGTCTACCTGCCTAACCTTTTTGCTTTCTCTGTTCTTCAACTTGAACTCTTAACATCAGATAGGCAAGTCCCTTACCTGCCTCCCCAACCATGTGTTCTTCATGAACATTTGGGGCTTTAATTTTCCCACTCCCCTTAGCTGGAAGTCCATTTGCCTTTAACCTATTCTACTTATTTGTCCTTTAAAATCCCAGGCACTCCCCTGAGTATATCTAATTGAGAACACTGTATTAATTTATTTCATGTAGAGACATGATTGGCATGGATATTAAAGGCCATCTAGGCTTGGAAGTATTTACACATCTTTAGCAATGAAGCTTTGCCCTCACCCCCAAATTCTTACTAGGAAGTCCAGGAACTTGGGTCAGTTATCTTGAGAGGTTGGGGACTAATCTGAGAGTTTTAACCTTCCTTTTCTGACATGCTGCTGTTTTTCTCTTTCTTTCCTTTTTCTCTTTTTTCTTTCTTCTTGGTTCTGGTTTACTCTTTCCAGTTTGCTGAGTTTAGGGTGATGGTAAGCAATCAGAGGTGATTAGTTGCTTTCCAGTTACTAAGCTTTATGGTATTTGAGTTTGTAGAACTGGACCATGTTGAATGCTAGCTTCTAGAATTTGTATCTCATCTTGAGACATTAGAACCAACAGATTTTTGTAAAAGAGAGATGGTTTTGAGAGATTATTCTTTTAGCAGTGGTTGGGACATATTGGAGTAGGAAAAGGTTGGTAGCAAGGAGATTAGCTAAAGATGGTCATTCTCGAGGCATGAAGTGATAAGGCTCTGCTGGTCAGATAGGTACAGTGAATCTTTGGAAGACCATCTTTCTCTGATCTTAGCCCTGTCTTCTCTAAGTCATTTTTTTTAAAAATCTGGTATTTCCCCACATCACTTCTTCTTAGTCTCATTCTGTTATTCTTTGTTATTTCCTATCCTGCTGAGAAGAGGAATGTTGAGTCCCTACACACACTGTCCTTTTATGCAGCTGTAATTTTTTGCCCAGTCATCTTTTTTTCTTGTGTTCTCTCAAGATTGCAAGACTATTTTTGAGAGCTTTCAAGTTCATGTGTTCCCTATAAATATTCTTTGTCTCATTATTTTCCTACCACAGCAGTTATTTTTCTCTCAGTGTAGGAAATGATTTACATGTGTACTTTTGCTTCTTTCAGACTGGAAAACGATACCAGAAAGCAAGGAGCTAACTCCAGAGAAGGAGATTTCTGAAGAAGAATCAGCCCCTGGGGTGTTAATCGTAAGATTTTCAAAGGAAGGTTCCAGTGAACCTGAGGATTCTTTAGAGAGTCAGCAGGAAAACCATGAGAAACATTTAATACAAGAGGCTATCACTCAGAAATCTTCTAGGGGGAGAAGTTACCAATTTGATAAATTTAGAAGAAATTGCACTCGGAGGTCCTTACTTGTTCAGCAGCAAGGAGAGAGACTACATCATTGTGATTCATTTAAAAATAACTTAAAACAAAACTCAGATGTAATTAGGCATGAGAGAATTTGTTCAGGAAAGAAACCTTGGAAATGTAATGAGTGTGAGAAAGCCTTCAGTTACTACTCAGCTTTTGTCTTGCATCAGAGAATTCACACCGGAGAAAAACCCTATGAATGTAATGAATGTGGTAAAACCTTCAGCCAGAGCATACACCTTACTCTGCACCAGAGAATTCATACTGGAGAGAAACCCTATGAATGTCATGAATGTGGGAAAGCCTTTAGTCATCGCTCAGCCCTTATTCGGCATCATATAATTCATACTGGAGAAAAACCCTATGAATGCAATGAATGTGGGAAGGCCTTTAATCAGAGTTCATACCTCACTCAACATCAGCGAATTCATACTGGAGAGAAACCTTATGAATGTAATGAATGTGGGAAGGCCTTCAGCCAAAGCACATTTCTTACCCAGCATCAGGTCATTCACACCGGAGAGAAACCTTATAAGTGTAATGAATGTGGCAAAGCCTTTAGTGATCGGTCAGGTCTTATTCAGCACCAGAGAACTCATACTGGGGAGCGGCCCTATGAATGTAACGAATGTGGGAAAGCCTTTGGCTACTGCTCAGCCCTAACTCAGCACCAGAGAACTCACACTGGGGAGAAACCGTATAAATGCAATGATTGTGCCAAAGCCTTCAGTGACCGCTCAGCCCTTATACGTCATCAGAGAACACACACTGGAGAGAAACCTTACAAATGTAAAGATTGTGGAAAAGCATTCAGCCAGAGTTCATCTCTTACAAAGCATCAGAAAACTCACACTGGAGAAAAGCCCTACAAGTGTAAGGAATGTGGAAAAGCCTTCAGCCAGAGTTCATCCCTCTCTCAACATCAGAAAACTCATGCTGGAGGGAAAACCAAGGAATATGTCCAAACTTTTAGTGAGCATTTAGCCTTTGGCCAACTCAAGAGAATTCATACTGGATAAAGACCATGTAAATGTGGTTTACATTCAGAGCATACTTTTTGAGCATTTACCATTCTTGCTGTGGGAGTCTACAAAGAAATTTAAGACTGTGTTGCAAAAAAAAAAAATTTATCAACTAGTCATTGCTGATGTGGGAAGTAGCATAATTAGACCGTGAAAGTATAGTTTTATATTTTTAAAAGTGTTCTGGCCAAGGACACTGAATTTCCCTCAGGAAAGAGAAAAATTATTTGTAACATCCTAATGTGTATGTAAATTACCATAGCCTTGGGAGAGAAATGGGTTGTGGCATGGTGGAAAGGGGACACCTTGACTGTGCCAGGTATTTTCATAATACTAAGAATATAAGTTTTAAAGAGATAAGTGATCTTTTTAGAGAAGTTGCACAGGTAGAAATAAGAGATTGAGAATTCACAATGAGTTTGTCCAGAGTCAGAAGGGGTGGAAGAAGGGAAGTTGTCCTTCATTCTTAAGGAGCCAAAGGAAGTAGAGGGAAAGGACAGAAAAAAAGAGCTGGGGGAATTAACTGAAGAAATGTTGACTATGATAACTACTTAACTGAATATTCATAGCCATGAAAAATATTAGACTTGCTAATTGGTCAGCTGAAAAGTTTCTGTGAGGGTAACTTGACCCTGCAGCTAAGGAATGTTGGCTGCAGAGTAATGCAGATGTTTGCTTCTGCACTTTTTGTCTTTCAGACCTTGCTTATTGAGACGTCACCTACTATAAATCATGTTAATTCCAAGGGTCAAGACCCACAGCATAGAAAATTGAGTACGGAAGAGACCTTTGATGTGTTCAAACTGTTTTAAGGTATCTGAGTTGCCTAAGAATGTGCTTATTTATAAAGATTTACCTCAGTTGTATCTAGTTTGTACCTTAGATTTTTTTATAGCTTACAGTAAAGTTTAGTGTAGATTTGCACTGATGCTATATATTAGATTATGAAAAACTTGGAAAGACTTTGAAATATCTTTTACCATTTTACTCTTGGGTAGAGGTAGGTGGCATCTTTATATATATATATAATTTTTTTTAAACTTAAAATTTTAGACATGTTTATTTGAAACACACTTCCAAACAATACATGTGTCTACTACACTGCAGATGTAGCTTACAATTGGCAAGACATCCTCCTTTGTACTTGTTTCCTAAAAGAGTTGCTAGGTCACTTTTTGCCCATGACCAGCAGCATCTTTTTAAGAACAACAAAGGACCTGCTGTAAAATTCAGTCTCAGGTATCTGCATTGCCAGCTAGCACCCTCTCTGCATACTGCACCCCTGAAGAAGCACAGAGCCCACAGGGCTTGCTGGCCCTAGCCCAAGGGCTTGCCGGCCTCACCGCCAATTGGGTCGCTTTTTGTACTTGTCCTGGCTGCTCCACTTTTGTGGTGGGGAGCAACTGATAACCTTGAGCACGGAAGCTATGCTTGTGAAGATGGCTTCTGTGTTTCTTTGGGTCTTCTACTTTCTGGGCCTGGTTCTTTGCTGGTTCCTTATTGTCCTCTTTTTGTTCATGGTCTTGCTCTTTATGAGAGCACAATGTGTTTTTAGTTGTGTTAGTTAGAAATCTTTTATTGGTACCAGCAAGAGGACACTTTATCCAACCCAGGGGTCCCATTGTTTCAGCTCTAGTTTTCCCACATTTTGCCTCTGTATTGCTTATCATTATTTGCCTCCTTCTATTGCTTTCCTCTCCAGCTCCTGGTCCTCTTCCATCGTGGGGGCGGTTTCTGGATCCTCACATTGTGCTAGCAGATCGGAGGCTCTTCACCATAACTTGAGGCATGGAGGTGAAACAGGAAGCTACATACGTTTTGCATTGAAACTTTAAAGATTATTGGACACACTATTTTGAGTGAAGTGTTTTTAATTTTGAGGAAGTTTTACTATAATGTATCTTGGTGTGGATTTCTTTTAGTTTACCCTATTTGGGGTTTGCTTAGCTTCTTCAATCTACAGGCTATGTCTTTTTTTTTTTTTTTTTTTTGAGACTGGAGTTTCGCTCTTGTTACCCAGGCTGGAGTGCAATGGCGCGATCTCGGCTCACCGCAACCTCCGCCTGCTGGGTACAGGCAGTTCTCCTGCTTCAGCCTCCTGAGTAGCTGGGATTACAGGCACGCGCCACCATGCCCAGCTAATGTTTTGTAGTTTTAGTAGAGACGGGGTTTCACCATGTTGACCGGGATGGTCTCGATCTCTTGACCTTGTGATCCACCCGCCTCGACCTCCCAAAGTGCTGGGATTACAGGCTTGAGCCACCGCGCCCAGCCTACAGGCTATGTCTTTTGCCAAATTTGGGAGATTTTCCACCATCATCTCTTTAAAAACATTTTAGACCCTACCTTCTACTCCTTTTCTCTTGGGACTCTAATGAAAGGCTCTTTGGTTGTATTCTCACAAGCTCCTGAGGCTCTGTTCCTTTTTTCTTGATGATTTTTGCCTGAATCTGCTCGATCTGCCTTAACAAGGTAACATAGACTGACTGGGTGGTTCAGAAAAAATACCAATTTCTAACAGTTCTGGAGGCTGGGAAGGCCAAGATCAAGGTACCTGTGGACTCTGCTTCTAGTGAGGGCTTTCTCCCTGGCTTACAGATGGCTGCCTTCTCACTGTGTCCTCCCATGTCTGTAGTGCATCCAGATGGGACACTAATGGGGAGAGGCAGAGAGAAATAGCTCCCTTTTCTTATCAGTCCACCAGTTCTAGCAGATTAGGGACTCTTCCCTTACTGTCTCATTTAACCCTAATTACCACCTAAAAACCCTGTCTCCAATAAATTACATTGGGGATTAGGGCTTCAACATAATTTTGGGGAGGAGGGGATACATCTAGTTAATAATATTCCATTGCAGCCCCCCACCCCCACCTAATTTATGTTCTTGAATGCAGAATATATTTATTCCACTTCAACAGCCCCTAAAACCTTGACTCATTCTAGCATTAGCTGTAAAATCCAGACCTTCAAGTAAATATCACCTAAATCAGATATGGGTAAGAGTCAAGGTGCAATTTATCCTGAGGCAAAATTACTCCCCAGCTGTGAACCCATGAAAACAAACAAGTTATGTGCCTCCAAAATACATTTGTGATCTAGACATAATGTAGGCATTCCCATTCCACAGGGGGAGAAATAGGGAAGTAGGAGGAGGAGTGGGTCCTGAGCAAGTCCAGAACTTAGTAAGGCAAATTCTTCAGAGGTTACATTTCATCAGATCTTGTGAGAATAGTCCTCTTTTGCTCAATGCCCTGCCTTCTGGACCCACTGGAGTAGTGATCCTATCTCTGTGGTACTGCCAGGTGGCCCCTCTCCTAAGCCTCTGCAGGGCAATTCTGCCTCTAAGGCTTCAGCTGGAGCCTTTCTGTTCTGTTGAAACCAAAGTGATGGTTCCACCCTTTGAAACAGGAGGTATCCCCAGTGGTCTCTGAATTGTTTTCAGAGTCATTCTCTTGAAGAATAACACATTCATAGACAGATGGCTCTCTAGTCTGGTTCTATATGATCTAAGAAGCCCCCTAAAGCCTGCCTTCATTTTATTTTGTTTTCCTGTCCCCTTTAGTACTAGCTGGTTGTGCCTCTGCTGGTATAATCCCATTTATGTTCCTGGCTTCTGATGGGGCTGCTAAACCCGTAAGTCACATTCATGATCTCTTTATCAAATGGTTGTTCAACCACACCCTTAGGGTAAAGGTGGAGGATGGAGAAGCCTTGTTACAGCCTGGTGAGGGTGGAAGTATAGGCCTTTGTTGGTGTGGATAGGACCATAGCTTTCTTCTGTGGTCTTTGAGGTAGGATTGTGATTTTCTGTCTTGCTAGGCTGCTCCCTTCCCAGTCCTTTGGCTAAAAAAAGCAGACTTGTCTTGGCCTTCTTTTTTCTTGTTGTTGTCTGTTGGCATTTCCAGGTGGTCATCTTCTCTGTCAGAACCCAGTCTGGGATAGATTAGGCAATAAGAAAACCCAAGAAAGTCACTGCTGTGTTCTTCCTCGAGTTCTGAGGTCCCTAGTCACTTCATTCTCTCTCCGTCTTTTAGAACCTTTTTATGTTTGCTTTGTATATACTATCCAGGATTTTTAGCTGTACTTAGTGAGAGCAATAGGAGAAAGTAGTGCTCCACCTTTCCCGTGACATTTTTGTGCTTGACACTGAAATCACATATCAAGTTGTGGTATATACAGGGTTTGTGGTATATAACCTAAGAGTTTGTGGTATATGCAAGTCATTTGTAAGCAGTTAGGAAAAGGTACTAAAAGGAACGCTCACTGGTTTCCTGAAGATAAGCTTCCAATTTGATAGGTAGAAACTATTGGCCGGCTCCATCTAGCTTCGAAGGAACTATAGTTTTTGAATTGAGGAAACACCAGCATTTAATTGTAGGTTATAAACTTGAGAAGGATAGATATGACTAACAATATAAAACATAGGGTTAAATTTTTAAAATTTGTCTTTTTGTTCAAAAAGTGTATGAGAAGCACTGGAGAACTGGACTTAGAGTTTTGGATATTTTTTCCAGTTATATATTATCTACATGTGGCTCTCTGTTCATTTTAATTTGCCATATGACATATGATATCATAGAGAATCAACAAAGGATGAAAATAATTGGGATTTGGGACAAGTCACTTTTATCCTTTGAAATCTGTTTCCTCATAGATACATGTTTTAAAATTTAATGCCTATTTGAGAATGACTAGAGTTAGGTAGAAAATGGATGCAATGTGATTTGTGAGCTTTCAGGTGCTGTATAACTATTAGGTATTATTGATAGAGTCATTTAGAAGAGGACATGTCTGTCGTGTATGCGCCACACTGGTGTAGCCCAATAGAAACAACTGTGAATATGGTGGAATGAGGCTTTTTATATTTTTAAATAAGTTTTCTGGGATCCTGGTAAAATCTGTATCTTTTGAGCTAATCATATGATTTCTTTTAATCTATTGATGTGGTAAAGTACATTGATTTTCTGATGTTAAAGAATCCTTGCAGTCCTGGGATTTACCCAATTTGGTGATTTTTTTTCCCCATCTCTGGGGGAGTTTGTGTCCCCTGAATTTCAGTTGCATTCATCGTTAAACTGGGATTATTGTGTTTGTAATATGTGGTTTGAGTGGTTTTAGGGGCTATTTAGACTTACTGTTTCTTCTAGAAAGTTGTAGGTTTTTCTAAAAATGTATCCTTTTTGCTCATTGA